GGTTCTTCGTCGCAGGAGTAACTTTGTCTCACTCATTTTTGTACCCCACTGCCCGGCGGAGCTCAAAAAACATTTCATAGAGCAAAGAGCTCGCCCGCGACGTCAGGCGATACCAACAATGTCCAAGGGGATGAGGGGGGAAGCCCGGCCAGGACGCCGGGAGGGACAGCTGGGCTTCGGGAGTTGGTTTACTGGGATAATCTTCTGAGGGGACCTTCCCACAAAACCCCTTCTTCCAGGTGAGCTGGGTCTCTACACAGGTGAGCGTGCTCCAAGGCCAGCGCGGGGTCAGGGGGCCCCGACGCGCCCGCCTCGAGGACGCAGCTCTTCCTGCCTGGCGGCCCATCCCTGAGCCCTGGCCAGAGCCATTTATTTAGTCCCTCGTGAGACCTCAGCCCCTCCCCGAGCATCCGATTCCAGTCCCCGTGCCCGTCCGCGGCGGGTCTCCACCCAAGTTCCTGTCTGGAGGTCCCTCTGCGCCCCTGAGACAGCAGAGCTGTGGGCAAGGGGACCCCTCGAGACCTCAGAAGTAGCTCCTACATGGCCGGTGGAAGAAAAGGGAAGGAAAAGTGGGGGTTGCTCCTGCTGGGGCTTCCCAAGCAGCCTGGCAGGGGCCTTCTTGGCTTCCTCTCTCTCTCGCCCAGCCCCTGGCACGTCGGCACCCACAGTTCTGAGCACAGTTTTCCACATGGGGGCCACTTCAGCTGACCTCTCAGGGCTCCTTAGGGAGGGACCCAAGCTGAAGCTTGAGGGGTTCAGGAGGACCCCCCCCTAGACCGCCCCTCCCTCGGGGCTCCATCCTGGATGCCTAACTCTCCACCATTAGAGAGATGTGACTGTCATTCTTGGTGAACCAGTTTTTGAGCTAAACTTTCTTTCTGGGAAGGACCCTCCCAGTTCCCAGCCTCACACCCCACCTTCCCCAGTTCCCTCCCCTCGTTTCCAGGCTGGGCTCCAGGGAGGGCTGGGGTGAGGGGACAAAGGCGAGACAAGGGTGCCTTGCGGTTTTAGTCGCCTTCTGTCATGCTCCCCCGGCCCTTCTGCTCCCTGTCTCCCGGGGCAGTCATTGCGTCCCTGCTTTAGGCCTCACTGCCACCACCCTCCGACGTGCCCCCCAGGTCTCCACTTTCCTTGCCACCCTTGCTTCCTCCCCCCTTTTCCCCTCCCTCTCAGCGTAGCTGCCCGCTGTGCCAAGCACTCTCTCTACTTTAGCTCTGTCACTTTCTCCGTCTCCTCCACCCGACCCTGGGCGCGTGGGCCTTGGAGCGATCCCTTCCCTCCTGTTGGCCCTCTTTGCTTTATAAGAATTGGGGTTCAGACAGGTCTGGGGCGCTGGGGTCCTTGAGGGGGCACGAGTGGGTAGACAAAGCCCCGCTTCCTTCAGCACGGCCGGTGCACAAAGACCGAACTCAGTATCCAGCTGTGGGCACCCTGGCGCAGGGGGCCAGGCGCCCACCTCCTTCCTTGCTGGCAAACCTGCTTCCTGCCGGCAGCCGCCCTGCATCACTATACATATCTGTGTATATATACACACATATATATGAACGCGAGAGCCCAGCCACGGAGGAGGCGTGTTCGGGCGGGTCCTCAAGCTGTCCTGGGGTCTCTCTAAGTCCTGTTTCCCCTGCGGGGAGGCAGGAACAGTGAGGCCCCAGAGCCCCTGCCTCCCCGCAGGAGAGCAGGACAGCAAGTGGGAGGGTGGAGGGACCGGTAACTGCTCAGGCTGGGGGCCCCGCCCGCCCCCCCCAGTGGCA